AAGCTGTCACGCCACTGTGATCACTATAACCACATGGGATCAGGAACACCAAGAAGGAAAACTTTGCGATGGAACTAATGTATCCCAAAATATAAAGTGAAGCGGCAAAGAAAGAAGCTGTGAAGTGAATGTGTGGACACAAACGACACACACACATAGAGAACAAAAGAGAAAAACCATCCAGACAGACACTGCCATCCATACAACAGCCTCATACAAAGGATGATGGTGCACACTGAGATAAGCCAATTTCCAGACGTCTTTATAGGAAAATTATCAGTTTAAACTCCTCCACACCAACTTCATGCTCACTTTAATGAAATTAAAGTAATTATTGTACACATCAAAGATGGGTGGTAAACAATCTACACATCTACAGGTATGTTCATGCAATTACAGAGTTAAGATTTAAGCTAACTTGTGTAGAATATACAGGTTCTGCAGCAAAAAAATGTGAAGAGCGCATGACTAAAGGAGCGGTGTGTGTGTTTGTGTGTGTGTGTGTGTGTGTGTGTGTGTGTGTGTGTGTGTGTGTGTGTGTGTGTGTGTGTGTGTGAGAGAGAGAGAGAGTGAGAGAAAGAGAGATTGATTACTGGATGATAGTCTGATAGCAGGGGCTGCGCAGTGGTTAGAGCTGTTGCCTTGCAGCAAGAAGGTCCTGGGTTCGCTTCCCAGCCTGGGATCTTTCTGCATGGAGTTTGCATGTTCTCCCTGTGCATGCTTGGGTTCTCTCCGGGTACTCCAGCTTCCTTCCACAGTCCAAAAACATGACTGTTAGATTGATTGGTCTGTCTAAATTGTCTGTGTGTGTGTGTGTGTGTGTGTGTGTGTGTGTGTGTGTGTGTGTGTGTGTGTGTGTGTGTGTGTGTGTGTGTGTGTGTGTGTGTGTGTGTGTGTGTGTGTGATTGTTTGTCCTGTGTGTCTCCGTGTTGCCCTGCGATGGGCTGGCTCTCTGTCCAGGGTGTACCTCGCCTGATTGCCCATTGACCGCTGGAGGACAAAGCGTGTTCAGACAATGGATGGATGGATAGTCTGATAGCATATAACCTCATATCATGTCTTAAATTGTCTTCTTTAAATGAATATAAAGCTGTTCCCAGCATTGTATTAATGCCTGACTCCTTTAAAACCTTAAGCAGGTTTGTGCCACTTCACATCTTCACATCTCAGTAGGGGGAGATAGTGAGTGAGCAGCTCGCGCACACAGAGGAGAGCCTGATAGTTGAGAGCTTAGTAGGTGAACAGCAATATTTAGAACATTTGAATATTTTTAACAGGACTTGACCTCGTGGACAAAGTGGGCTTAGTTTAGGATGCTGTGGCGGCCTGAGATGTCCCAGGAGAGGGGCGGACTCCAAAACCCGACCTGGCAGACAAACAGTCACATCGCTCTCACCCTCAGTGATGTGCCTGAACGAGTTCATTGAACGATCGTTCATGAATTCTTTCGTGGTTTATTTTTCTGAACGTGAACTGAACTTGTTCATATTTTGCCTGATGAACGTTAAAGCGAGTGCCCACCCTAAAAGGGAACCTAAGTCTCCTCCCTTTCCGGTTGGCTCATGGGTCCCCGGAAGAATGAAAAAATGAATGCAAGTCAATGGGGCTAAAAACGCTATCTTCTAATCCGCTTTGCCTTAAGGTTGGTTTAAGCTTGACGCGTCCGCGAGATCCGCACGGCTCCGCGCGGAAAAGTTGCGTAATTTTGCATCATTTTAACAACCACGCCCCTCCACCGCGTCTCCGCACGGCCCAAGATTTCCGCAACGCGCACCTCGGAAAATTTCTAACCACGCGGACGGACGGACGCGGAAAAACATGGCGGACCGGCAAGAACTAGTACGGCAGAGGTTCGTAAATACAGACATTTGTATGATTCAGCTCTCAGAGATCACCGTGATCAACATGCTGTTAATAAATCTTGGAGAGAAATGACTCGCACTGTCGGAAAAGACGAGGACGCTGTTAAAAATGCTGGAATGCCATGTTGTAAACAGTGATTTCTACTTCTACTATGGTGTAGTGATGGATGCATGCTGTAGAGCTCCATGCTACCCCCTACAGTTTGGGAGAATATTGGCTCACCGCGGAAACGAGCCGCACAAACCATAAACGCTACGAGTTGTGAAGCGCGTTCCATCCGCGAGCTGCATCACCGCGCGGAAAGTGAATGCGTCAAGCATAAACCAAGCTTTACGCCCTGGATCGCACATGTTGTACTGCAATTTAAATTAAATGTAGTGATGGGTGTTTCGACCACGCCGGTCACGTACTTTGAGATTTATCAGCTTGTAAATGTTCGTAATTAGCATGACGTCACATATATGACATCACCACAGAATCTCCTCTCCCCTAGCGTAGCTGCTACTTACCACATGACCAGATTTATGGTGGTTCTTTCTTCCTGTGGGAAGGATTTGAAGTTTGCTGAACTTACAGCCATTTTCTCTCCGTTTTTCTCCGTGTCTTCTCAATGACTTTCGTGAAGCGCATTTGTAGTCCTGGATTTATTTTCACACAAAATCTAAAATAATGTTTCCCCCATTCGAAAATAAGCGTGTTCTTCGTATCAAAATGTGTCTTTAAAATTCACGGACATCGTTTGTGAACTCCATGGCGGAATTAGAAAATAGCGTTTTTAGCCCCATTGACTTGCATTCAGTTTTTCCATTCTTCCGGAAACCCGTGGTCCAGAGGTAGATGGGCGTGACCTAGGCTCCCTATGGCCAACTCACAAACACATCCAACCTAAAGACACAGAAGAATGAACGCCACACACCCACTCACTCTCCCTAGGTACCGCTGCACAAAGGGTGCAACCAGTCCCAAACCCAGGAGATGTTTCTGTTCATGCTGGGGTAACGATGAGCAGGTTTCCTAACAGCGCTTTACCACAGAGTTGTTGCAGAGTCCCTTTACAGATCATTATTCACATAAGAAGCAGAAATCCAAGTAGTGTCTCCTGCAAACGATGTACTCCACCAGATAATGATGCTGACATCAATCCTCCCTGTAAATCAATACACCTCAGAGATTAGATTCTTTTGCTTCGATTTGCTGAGCTGAAGGTATCTGCGCTGTTGTTTTCCTCCCGACTTGTGTTGTTGTCTCTGATGTTGCTGAGACAATCAAGCACTGAAGTGTTTCATTCTGCCAATCCAGTCAGATGTGACTGTGTTTTTCCTGTTTGTGTCACAGGTCAGCTGGAAAGTCCACGTATAGTGGGAGGCTATACTCCAGTTCCATACTCCATCAAGTACATTGTGTCCTTGCAGACGTTGTACCACCAACACTTCTGTGGAGGCTTCTTGATAAATAAATTCTGGGTAATGACAGCAGCACATTGTAACATTGGGTGAGCTATAGTTTTCTTGTTATCTTGATTTTTAGCTGTTATTTTTGGGAATTTTGTTGCATTTCCTTTTTATCTTTTATCTGTGTTCGACACGTTTATATAACGCCGGTTTAATTAACCAACATTTTTAGTGTACAGCGCCTTGTTTGGTTGTAATGCCTTGTGAATGCGCTTTATAAATAAAATTGGATTGGACTGGATTACTTAACCTTGTGTGAAAACAGCATCAGCGTGTAAAGTAAACTCCGGTAACAGAAAGTGTTTCACAGTTTCTGCAATCAAATTACAATGTAAAAAAACGTTTCTATTGACCTGAAATGACTTTGACTTCTCTCGATGTTTGTCCAGGACTTCATTAGACAATCCAAAATGCTCGACCCTGTGAATTCTCAGAGCTGAAATAAAACACGTGAAAATGACACCTGAACACAGAGGAGCTTTGTGCTCTGTGACACAAGCATAATGGTGGTGTTGGGGCTTCGTGATAACACACTATTAAAAGAACAACAATCCCATTCGCTTCAAAAATACAGTAGGTGACAATTTTAGACAAGGCATGTAATCCAATCTCTGGGGTTTCGTTATTACGTCAGCACCATATTTTATACCGTTTATTATATAACCTACGGAATGCTGCAGTCAGGATCAGGGTACGTAGACACAACAAGATTGCGTCTGATGCCGTTCTGTAAATAATAAACTCTCTAGTTTATAGCAGACAACAAATTCTTTTACACCCAGAACTCACAGTTTCTTCCAGATACAAAGGTTCTGATACACGTCACATCACACATCACATTCCATCACATATCGTTATTCATAGCTTGTCATGAATTATAATTAGTCTAGAAAATAAAGTTTATTATCCCTTTGATGCATGAATTATGAAATCTTCAACCATGATTTTTTAAACAATTATTTTCATTCATCTTTAGGTGTGAATGAAACAAATTTCAACAAATATTTTTTGTAACATTTTGTTAATTTACAAATAATTTATTACATGTCCAGCTCAGTGGACAGCGTGCATTCTGAACATGAAATATGTTGGCTTGACTTGCTGAAGCCCAACTGGAGGGGCTCACATAAAATAAAGTCTTCAACAGCTGTGCTTAATAGCAAAAATAAATAAATAACAATTTTGAGTACCTGTCCACTGTAGTGACCATTATGCATCAAAGGGTTAATTATATACTTGATTCTGTCAGAATTAATACGAAGTGTGTTTCTGATCCCTGACTAAGCAAAGAATCCTAAATTCTTCTGGTTAAACGTTCAAAGATCAATCAGGTTGATATTCTATATTTACATAGAATCATCACATGTTATTGGTCATAATTAAATCCTCCAATGCATCTACAGGAAGGTAGAAAAAATTTATTATCCACACTTAGCTTTTAGTTTCAGTGAAACACAATAAAGATTATCAGTGAACCCCATCTGACCCTCCCTCAAACAGCTTTGTGGAGATGCCCCAGAAGCTCTGCTGCTGTTTGGCTCCCAACCGTTTCTGCACAGAACTCAATCACACAGTGACCGAAGACACATTTGTTTAGCTCAGATCAGTTTTGCTCTCCTGTGGTTCAGGAGAATTAGTGAAAATTTTACATTCTGGTTCTTTTATACCTCCACAGCAGTGAGGTCAAAGGGCTTATTGACTCACTTTTTCACTTGCAACGTTGTGACTGCTTCTCACTGCAAATCAGTGACCCTGGAAAGAAAGAAGCTCTGTTCCCTTCAGAAGCAAAACAAAGAATAGCCTGAAACCAAAAAGTGCTTTCTTCATCCATACAGAACTGATCTACCATGTCTATCATGCAGATGTGTTTTCATAAACTGGTAATTATCAGTTCATCTTCACATTGCTTAGAAGGAGGCTGCATGATAGAATGTTGCCTTGCAGCAAGAAGGTTGCAGGTTCAAATACAGGGGCAGCCTTTCTTTTCAGAGTTAGTATTTTCTCCGTGTGTGGGTTTTCTTTGTTTACCACAGCTTCCTCCTGCAGACCATAAATGTGCATGTCTTGTTGATAGGAGACTCTAAACTGTCTGATTTATGTCCCTGTGATGGACTGGAGACCTGTCCAGGGTGTCCCCACCTCTCCCTCAGTGACACCAGCTCCACAATTTGGGAAATCACCCCTAATTTGGTTAGCTATGTCCAGTGACCAAAGCCTACTGGTTGTGCAGCACCAGGCTAAAGGCCAAAGGTGACAGATCATCTGCTGCTGTGGTCCCCAGACTCTGGAACTCTCTCCCCCTGAGCCTGAGATCAGTGGACTCAGTGGTCTCCTTTAAAAAGCAGCTGAAGACTCACTTGCTCAAGCTGGCTTTTGTATGACCTTCTTCACCACTCTCTCTTTATTCTGCTCTCCCCACCTATTCCACCTTCCTCAGGATCCACTGATTTCCCTCTTTCCTGTTCACTCTCTCTCTTTCTTTCTTTTTTATATTTTTACATTTTTTGTTTTTGTGAAGCGCCTCGTGATTTTTATCTTGAGAGGCGCTATAGAAATGATATTTTCTTCTTCTTCTTCTTCTACAACTTTGCATTTCAGCACAGCACCAGCGAGCAGCAGCTGCCCTCAATATCAGCTCAACCCATAAACTACTGGGTGTCATAAACATCAGTCAGCTGATCGTGACATCAGTCTTATTTATTGTTTACATCTGTATCAGATTACAGACTGAGAATATTTATTTACTCTTTGTGACACAGAACCTGTGTTTTAAGAAAATCCACTTGTGTTTTTTTCATTTTTTGTCTTTGTTTTCTAAAGTTATGGATTACATCACCACATGATCTCACCATCTAACAGAGGCACTTATGGCACTTTCACATTTGGGCCAGCACGGACCAGACTGAGTAGTTTTTAAAGAGTTCACATCTAGATAGTTTTGCATTGTTCTGTGCTCAACCGGTCGGTTTTTCGGCCCTCTTACCAAGGCAGTCTGCTTTGGGCTGATCTGGTCCAACTCACCCACTGCCAACCGATTGGCCGGCTCAAATTCACGCCTACTATTAGGGGGACCCTCCGATTGGTGGATAGAATCAATCAGCGGGGGTTTACTGCATGTGCGTTTCATTATTCTGGATACTGAGAAGTAAACGTTGCCTGTTTATGTAGTAAAAAAATCCTGAATATAAATTTAGATGTAGGCTGTTTTCTGTGGTCCAACATGAGAAAGACAGTCTGCTGACTGGACAATAAACCATAAACATAGAATAATTTCAAATCATCTACATGACTGAAACTAAGCAGAAACTGCTGCCCTGCTGAACAGTCATGCATCTGTCAGCAGTTTTAAAGTCAGGAATAGGTTGTTGCAATCTACTCTGTAGAAACCGAGGTTTATAAAACACACACATTTTTATTGTGAACATCTGTTTATTCATTTATTCTATTAGTAATCCAAAGAAAAGGTTACCATCTCTGAAACTAGCCATGAGCTGACTGTAGCAGAGCAGTTCTGTGTATTTTAAACACTTTTCTTAAACGCAGGGTGGACAAAATGATCGTGGTGGCAGGAGACTTCTCCTTGACTGTGTATGAGGGCACAGAGCAGCAAGTTTTCCCCCAAGTATTGGTACCACACCCCAACTACAACAGCATCACGTATGACAGTGATATCATGCTCATCAAGGTGCAGAATACACACCATCTGTTTTATTTATCTGTTGTCCTCACGTTGTCTGTTCACTAAAACTATGCATGTCTGTCCAGCTAAGGGCCCCCATTGAGCTGAACAGCTACGTGTCCGTCGTCCTGCTGCCCAGGCAGGATGCTGCCATTGCAGAGGGCACAATGTGTCGAGTGTCAGGATGGGGATACACCACCCCCACCGGGACGCAGATTCCAGCCTCACTTCAAACTCTGAAGCTTCCCATCGTCTCCACAGAAACATGTAACAGCAGCCAGTCGTTCAACGGCAGCGTCACAAATAACATGCTGTGTGCTGGTTACGAGCTTGGTGGAAAGGACGCCTGTCAAGTAAGAACATCTCAACTAATGCTTTACGGATACATGAAAGAAAGAAAAAAGTAATACTTGTTTGTTTAAATGGGTACATGCTGCTGTGCCTGGAAAATTAACCATTTCTACAGTTGAACTCTGTCATATTTCATCCGTTCAGCTAATCTGATGTTCATTCAAGGGTGGGTAACAGAGGTCAAAGGTCCAACAGGGACACCCAGACATGGCTCTCCCCAGATAAAGTCTCGAGCTCCTCCCAGGGGCTCTCAGGGTGTTTTCAACCATGGACCTTACCTAAAGGTCCGCGTGAAGGTAGCGCGACTCGGGTTGCGAATGACCACAGTCACCAATTCTTGTTCTGAATTGTGTGTACTGAAACTCTAATTCCCCTCTGGGATTAATAAAGTATTGAGTGACTGATTGATTGATTGATTGATTGATTGATTGAACTCCTCCGCTAAATTATGTCCTGAGCTCTTTTAGAAAACCTCCAGGATGCAGTTTAGATGCATCCCAGTTAGATACCCAGACCACCTCAGCTGACTTATTTTAGAACAAAGACTGACCACCTGTAAGGTGCTTTAGCTTAGGGCCAGTCGGTTTTACATTTCCCCAAAGTTTGCATTTTTTTTCTGATTCCCACATTTTCATTCTAACCATATTTATTAATCCAAAAGTGCTAATTATAAAGTGAATGAAAATAGTTCAACAGATCAGTAGCACCAGGATTCTAAATTGAATGTCTAGCTTAAGTTTCACATATACAGCAAAGTGTTTTGGTTGTGCACAGTATTGAATGCTACCTAGCAAAGGTGCTACTTAGAAAAAGGTCCTAGCCCTCAACTGGTTAGAAGCTTCTCTATCTAGTAGCTCATTAAGTAGCTCCAAGAAGATGTCATTGTCTGTCTCTTCTGGGTAAGATAGTGTCAGTGGTACTCCTTCACCCGTCCCTGAGGCCAGTGTGTCGTGGGAGTACGGTGTACATGTGAGGACATCCTCAGGTCTCAGGTGTCAAACATCAGCTCATAGACAAAAAAGCCTCAGGTTTGATTCAAAAACCCATTAGACATCTGCCTAAATAGTGCTAGTCAAAAAGGTCTCAGAAAAAAAACCATCAAACTAAATGGAATCAGGGAAAACTGCTTCAGGAAAAAAAAGTTGTCAAACCAAATCCCTACTTTTTATTGAAGCTGTTTTTCCTGAATCCTTTTTGTCTGGTGGCTTTTTTTCCTGAGTCCTTATTGACTAACATTAATCAGTCAGAGGTTTGAAGGGTGTCTGAATGAAACCTGAGGCTTTATTCTCTAATAGAGATGGGGAATTGTGGGATCAATGTGTGATAATGTACCCCATATGGGAGGCCTGATTAGGTGTGGATCCCCCAGTCAGCATTCATAACCCCATCAACTATTTAAGGTCACAGTTGTGTGAAGGAGATTGTACAAAATATGCTAACATATTTCCTTTGCAGCTAAGCCCCGACTGTCAAACATTTTAGTAAGTTGTTTATAGAGCTCCGGGAGTTGACGTCACTTCTCCTGGCGTGCAACAGTTCAAATCGAAACGGCGCCATCTTGGCAGGCACAAGCCCGCAGCTGGGCTGTTTGTTATTGTCAGAAAAATCAATCAAATGGGAAATATGGTAGATTCCTGTTGTGCCCCAGGATGCAGAACAGACGTGGACGACATAAGGAATGAGCCATCTACAGGATTCCCCAAGATCCGGAACGCCGCAAACGTTGGATCATTGTAATAAAACGCGCTAGTGACCGGGCTAAAATGAAGCTGTGGGACCCCGAGAGTAAAGGTTTTCGCATATGCAGCGACCGCTTCATATCAGGTACTTAAACCGACGTTTCCTCAACTGTGTATGGTATTTATTTTAAATGCTTTTATTACGATTCTTAGTGGACTTCCTGAACTTATTTTGGCGGGGCTTTTTCTGTCTTATTACTCATAGCAACAAGTAAACGACACGTAAACGTTGCCTCGTGAGTTCTGCGTGCTGCCGTTTGCGTGTTTTATTATCACAGCAATTAACCGGCTAAGCTGTATTTAATTTTTAAGCAATGGTTGATCAATTGTCAGATCACACATAAAAAGCACTTTGGATTGCTATTATCAGTCTCACCGAGACAGTTCTCAGACAGATCCTGAGACGCTCCTGCCTGACATATTTATTTTATTCACAGAAAAAAATCAGACTAGTGATTTCTCTTGGCGTTCAGTTTATACATTCAAACAGCACAGCAATCTATTTCAACTACTTACATGTAAATCTATGTTATTTGTCCATCCATCCATCCATTTTCATCCGCTTATCCGGAGTTGGGTCGCGGGGGCAGCAGCCTAAGTCGAGAGGCCCAGACTTCCCTCTCCCCAGCCACTTGGGCCAGCTCCTCCAGGGAAACCCCAAGGCGTTCCCTGGCCAGGTCCGCTCCAACAGCTTCTGGCGTTTTTAAAAAGTGTCCCAGGGGCACGGTAAGGGTCAGAGATGCTTAATCTATTTAATTTCTGACTATATAAAACAATTTCTTTGGTTTGAAAGTGTGAAGTAAACTCCGACGAAGTAAAATCCAACCCGATCCCGTTCATTTTGTTTACCTTTGTTGCATGCCAACATGGCGTCTACTCTCTTAGAGTCACGTGACGTCCGGAGCTCTATAGACACTAATGTGTATTCAAATGTACAAGATTGTGGATCAGTAACTCTGCCTTCCAAAACTAACCAATAATGAAAGATTGGCTAAACATTTACATTAAAGCTACAACGCCTTATCCAAAACAAGCTAGCTTTTAAACACAAACGCAGTCCCCAGGCCACCTCCACCTGATTCTGGAACCTGCATTGCCAGAGTAAACGAGATAGAGCTAAACACCAGTCGCCGTTTCTTAGGTCCAAAGGTCTTTTGCTGTCCGTGACTTCAAATGGTAGTTTGTCCTAAAGTTGAAGTGGTAGCAGCCGAGTGTTTCTCCTTCTCTGATATTATTGAGTGGAGAACCTCTCACACCAGTGGTGTTCTGTTTGGTGAGACAGATAACCGGATGGTCCAGTCGTTGGTCTGGGACTGACCCGTGCTAGTTGGCGGAGGTTTTTAGACAAACGTGAGAGAACCACTCATTACTTTTCTTTTGTTGTTTTAACTCCACAAAATATTCATAGCCATACTGTGTTAGCATGTGGTTGAGAGGCACGGACTAAAGGTTTTAAGCTAGTTTATGTGCCGCTTTGATGTTGTAGCTTTAAAAACTGACCCCCAGAGCTGTTTTAAATATGGTGCTTTATTTTAAGCATAACTCGGCCAGTAAACACATTACACAGGGGATGCAACTTAAAATGAGAGAAAGATACAACCCAGTGAGGTCTACAGCAGTGAAAAGGTTTAGGTGTGAAGGGGATTACATGAGATTTGCTAACAAGGCAGAATACCACCTGACATAAACTTGTCTTGCACAGTGAACCAAGGCCGTTTTAGGAGGTCTGACAGTATAATCACTGACACTCACTCAGCACCTTTTTTTTTCCAGGGAGACTCAGGTGGCCCGCTTGTGTGTGCTGGCCGGGCCTATGGAGTGGTGTCATGGGGAAGAGGTTGTGCTCAAGCAAATTTTCCTGGAGTCTACACCTCCGTGTCCAAATTCCGCAGGTGGATAGACAATACCATATTCAGCTTCTACAGCAGATGTAAAACCAATTAGAGCTCAGTGTTAACTCAGTGGTGACTTTCCTGTTTCATTGGTGCCTTCTTTGTTCTCATGTCATGTTCATAGTACTGTGGGCATATTTGAGTTCAGGGATAGTTACACATTTTTGGAATATAGTTCTGTTAACTGTTTGTATGTTTTGACGAAGGCTAGGGAAGAAGACCGATGTCTGCGTCTCGAGCAAACACTTTTAATACGTTGGCAATTTGCCAGTTAGAATAAGTAAAACTGCACTCTGATACACACATGGAATATTACGATGACCAAAACATTCATATCTGCCTTAGACAGGGCAGATGCGCTCCCCACAGAAACAACAGCGTCATAATGAAATGCAGGATTGGGGCAATGCAGTCGGGTGGCAATATGGTTAAAAGTATACCAGAGTAACCATAAAAGGCCCAGTATTATAGTAGTCAACCAATAAAAAACAAAGCAGCAACTTTATTAGGTACTCAGCTAATTGAGCATGCTCAAAATAACACTGTCAGGGTTGATTTAAACACTTTTAAAGTGTCAATATGGGTCCACACCAGTTGATTTAACTTTTTTGGAGAGTTGGTGTTTAAACCCTGATTTAATGTTAAAAATAAGCTCTTATGGAGTTGACAATTTAACGCCGGTGTTAAAGGTAAAATAGTAACTCTAACACCCCATTCTGCCTTCAGAACTGCCTCAGTTCCCTAACGTTTTAGACTCAACATTCCTCAGAGGTTCTAGTCCATACTGACATGACAGCATCAGCTCCATCCATGATGAGAACCTCTCATTCCACCACATCCCAAAGGTTCTGGACTGGACTGAGATCTGGTGACTATGGAGGCCATTGCGGTCCTGTGAACTCATGGTCATGTTCTAGAAACCAGTTCGAGATGATCTGAGCTTTGTGACATGGTGACATGACCCTGCAGGATGTAGCCATCAGAAGATTAGCCCATGTGGTCATAAAGGGATGGACATGGTCGGCAACAATTCTAATGGTGCTTACACATTAACGTCTGCATGGTCGGGGTTTGGTGGGGCTGGATGGCGTGAGTTCAGTCTCGAACGGGTGGTGTAGTGTTCACATACAAATCCGAGGGACTTCTCAAGAATGTGGAAATCCCTGAGCCTGTGGGCGGCGCTTAATACCCGCGGGAAAGTCCGCTCCATAAGGTAAACAAAAGGCGGACATAAGCTGTGTTGCTTTTGGAGACTCTGAACCACATTATTGGGCTGCATGGTGGTGCAGTTGTTAGCACTGTTGCCTCGCAGCACGAAGGTTGCAGGTTCTAAACTCGGCTGCGGCCTTTCTGCATGGAGCTGCGTGTTCTCCCCATGCATGCGTGGGTTTCCTCCGGGTACTCCGGTTTCCCCCACAGATCACAACATGCCCTGTAGGTTGTAAATTGTAAGTCGCTTTGGATAAAAGCGTCTGCCAAATAAATAAACATAAACATTATTGTATTATCCTATAATAAAATAATATTATCTTATTATAATTATAATTATAATCTTGTGCCACACACACACACACACACAGATTTCTCCCCTGAGCAACTATCTGTTCGCTGGAACAAGAGCTCCGATGCGAACATGTGCACGCACACATACGGCTATTCTCTTCTCCCGTTCCCACACTTAACGGCAGCTCTGTGCTACAGACATGAAAATGAATCACGCATGCAGGAACCCCCCGCTGACTCATTCTCCTTGCAGATCGGAGTTGGTAGGCATAATTTCAGCTGGCCAATCAGTCCGTAGTGTCGCCTCGGTCCCAGTCTGACCGCTGAGGAGGAGGTCTGAGAAAAAGAGTCGCCTCTGCACCAAAAATGCAAATCTGACCTGTGTATGAAACCAAATTCCGGTGCCGTTCGATACCTTTTGGGGCCGTGCTGACGCCAATGTGTAAGCGCCATAAGGTAGGCTGTGATGTCTAAGCCAGGCTCAGGTGGGACTGAGTGTCCAAAGTGGAACTAGAACCCCCCATCACCACCATTACACCATCAACAGCAGCTCCATTGCCGCAGCAGAATGGATCTTTTTTTTCTTCATGTTGGAGACACCAAATTCTGACCCAACCATCTGAATGTTGCAGCTGAAATCCAGACTCATCAGAACAGAAAAGGTTTTTCCAGTCTCTTCTGGTCCAGTTCTGGTGATCCGGTGTGAATTGTAGCATCAGTTTCCTGTTCTTAGCTGACAGGAGAGGCACTTGTTGTGGTCTTCTGCAGCTGGCATTTGCCACTCAAGCAAACCTACCTGTTAATTTAACTAAAACAGAAGCTAACTCCATTTTATCATTCACTGGTATATGTGAGGGCAAGTTTATGCAATTCCCATTTTACCTAGGAAACACGGCTAACCAGCGGCTTACAGCAACATGTAGAGGTGGCGAATTGTATGATAGAATGTTCTGTGATGTTAACGCCATCGTAGACCTTAATACTTCAGCCAACCAGCCACATTCCTAAGACAAGATAAAGGTGCCATACCACCACAAGCCCCATCATAGCTGTTACAGTCTCATCAAGTCTGTCCAAAAAGAAGGAAGACGTACTTAAAATTTAACAGCTTAAATGGTTTAGTTTACATCTTAAATTACAAGTTATTTTATAACAAATTAATCAATAATTGATTGTCACTTAATCCAATGCCATGAGTTACAAAATAAATGAAAACGTGATTAGAACATCCCATCCGTAAGTTCTCATTTCTTATATTAATAAAAACAAATAGTCTTCATTTAGACCCTCTAGGAGTGGGTCATTTATCCACTCATATATAAAAACAGGGTTTTTACTTTCATTTAAAAGTGAAATATTACGGGTATCTTTGTAGTAGTAGTTTGTGTGTTCCGTATGGGTAGCTGTATAAAATAGGCTCTTTTTGGGAGGGGTTTCCCTTTTAGTCTGGTTGAACATATAGTTGCTCGCATGATGATTTCTTTATAAAGTTGTAGTGTTTTACGTTTAGCAGTATGCAGAAGGCACGCTGAAGAATGTTGGCTGGGCCATTTTTGAGAGTCTGGTGAAAGAAAAGGGGGTTGTGTGTATTCAAACGACAATATCAGTTCAGTGTTTCTTTGTTTTATACACACTAATAAACTGATTTATCTATTTAACCCCTCGTGTCTCATTTTATGTGCATGACAAAATATCTCAGGCTGTTTGGAAAGTAGACAGACAGGCGTCTGGTTCCATCTGGAGTCCAACAGTTCCAACACTCAGACATGGTGGTGGTAGTGTGATGGTCTGGAGCTGCTCTGCTGCTTCAGGACCTGAACCACCTGCGGTAATCGATGGAACCATGAATTCTGCTCTCTAGCAGAGCATCCTGATGAAGAATGTCTGACCTTTCACCCTAAACAGGTCTTTCAGGCTGGAAAACCCTCCAATGTGGCAGAATTTGAGCAACTCTGTTGAACGCCATTCACATTTTTAATACACTTGCAGTGGTTTATAGAATAAAGAATGCCTTCTCAATCATATTTAGGAGACTAGATAACAGCAACACGACTCCACCACTGACTCCATTAGCTCTTCAGGAGTTCTGCTTTGCGGTGGAGTTGCTAATGCTAACAGTTAGCTTCTACTAGTCGAGATGTCCTCTGTAGCTAGCAAATTTGCTGAGGCATACATTCTGCAGCATTGATGCAAAACATCATCCTCATCATCGTCACCATCTTCATCATCATCATCATCATCATCATCATCCTCCTCCTCGTCATCATCATCGTCATCATCATCACATAAGTCCTGTCTGATTATGTGGCCAAAGTATTTCACCTTATGAACTGCATCTAAAGTCTCATTGGCCAAGTAAAAAGAAGGAAATGTTTCCTTTTGATCATCTTTTGTTCTGACAATCATAACAACCCAAAGTGATGTGACAGACTTGTTACTAGTTATCACATGTAGGCATCGCTTCTAAGGGTTTTACAATGAGTCATAATGTTCAAGGGTCAACTACCTTTCACATAGGATCTGAACTTTCTATTTAATTAAATATATTTTAACTCACATTAGAAAATGAGTGATAAAAACTGGTGAAACGTATTGAAATTCTCAATCCTTAAATGCTAGAAGTGTGTGATTGAAACAGCCATAAACATTTGGGTTAAAAGCTAAAATTAATGAGATGAAAGTAAAGAGTGTTAGATCTAGGTTTTACATTTAGGTGCCAAATACCTTTTCACAGGATGATGTAAAACGATATGTTAAACCTTTTGAGAAGTGCATATTGTCCTTACCAGTGTTGGGAACGTTACTTTAAAAAAGTAATTAGTTATAGTTACTGATTACTTTGTCAAAAAAGTAACTCAGTTACTAACTGAGTTACAAGATCATAAAAGTAATTAATTACCAACAAAAGTAACTACTTAGTTACTTTTTTCATTAAAGCATGCAAGAATTACTACAATAGTAAAATATAAATGACTAATGACTGAACATAATAAAATGTATGTCCAAATGTTTTATATAAACCTGAATAATTTAAACAAATAAGCACTTAACAGGAGGAACTACTAATAGGAACATTACACTAATCTAGACTATTAACCAAGCAGCTAAAATTTAAAATTGCAAATAGAAACACCTGTAAAGGTTCCCGAGCCTTTAAATGGTCTCTCGGTCTAGTTAAATTACAGAAATAAATGTAATTTTGCACAGTATTCTAATTTTTCCAGCTTCACATAATTGTGTCTTTTTAGTAGCATTTGTGTTGCTGGTAATCTAGTAACGGTTAAATAAATATATAAAATCATTTAAAATGACACTAGAAGAGGCACAGATCTGATGGAGGACTTACATTTACTAACTTGGGTCAGACCCAACCACAGAAGAGCTGAAGCTGGGTGGTGAACACACACAGGTAGTTCTAATAACACCTGAGCTCCATGACGTCTGAGACTGATGCATCAGTGTTACAGCGGGACTAAAGACATGATCAGGAACAGGTTACAGCTGGATGATCTAGGAAGGTAGAAGATCAGGACGTCTGAGCGGTGAACAGGTGAGCGGACCTTCGGGACGTCCCGCTGTCACGCTAAGGGCACGGCTGCAGACCCGCAGATTCGCTGCTGCAGCAACAAATCTGCGGCGGGTCTGCAGCCGTAGATATTCATCACGTCTTCCTCGTTCTTCACGGGCCGTGATGCTCTTAAACATCTGCCTCTTTAGCTCCTGATCAGCTGATGACAGCTTCAACACACCGCGCTGCTTAACGCACGCATTTCCTTACCAGTAACAGGAACGACGTTTTGATAAAAGAAGACGTAATAAATTAGTTTGCTTGTTACAGAAAGACATTTTTTATTAACGCGGTTATTTTAAACGGAGTTATTCCCGTTGTGTCTACAGAATGCAGCGACTGAGACGGTGAGGGTCTCCGCCCACCCGGCCAATCATCATCGTGTTTGTAAGTGCGTTACCGACACCTCTCTCTCCCTGGCTGCAGCTGAAGTGTGGCGGTCGGAAAGCCTCTGCTCAACGTTCGACAAGCACATAGTAACGCACAGCGTTCCGTCCCCAGTAACGGTAACGGCGTTGCAACGGCGGGAAAAGTAATTAATTAGATTATTCCGTTACCTATAAAAGAACGCCGTTAGAAACGCCATTATACTTAAACGGCGTTACTCCCAACACTGGTCCTTACCCATGTTATCTTTCTCTGAAACTAGAACTTTTTTTAAATTTGAAATATTAAAGTGACAACCACAGAAAGACCAAGAGAAACGGCTATGTAAATAAGCCACAGGAAAAATAAGTCTAAATCCTATAAATCAGAGTAAGTAACTGTTGGCAGCTTGTTTCTGGTCTGTTGAACAGCTGATGAATGATCCCAAAATTAGAATAACCATGAAATATGCATGGACCCGGACTCCCTCTCTGTAATGGTTACCAGGAGTCGGTCGTCTCCTTACGAAGCTGAAGCCTCAGTCAGCTGGGATTCCCTTACAAAACTGGGTGTCTCAATTCAAATCAAAACATGCTGCATCACACCTGATAGGTGTTGGCCGCCACAACAGAATGGATAATTGATGTCCTACTTGAGAAGGAGCTCTGGTTTCAGCTCTTACCTCTGTTCTGTTTTACTGGGTGTGCCAAAATCCCTGCTGATTGATGGATTTTACAGGTTTGGTTACATGAGTGTTTTTGTTCTGTGGTGACAAAGCCTCTTCACCAACTCATTCTACATCACTAGAAAGCATTTTTTTATGAGCTACCAATGTTTTTGCTGCATCACAAAGAAGTGGCTCGCCCTTCAGATTTTCCAGGAATAGATCGGTCTGAGCTTACAGATAGTGGCCTAATGGCTTCCCAATGGACACTGCTTTGTGATAACTGGGAGTACAAACTGAAAATTTTTTGGTTTTCCCACCAAACTGGGCTGTTCATCTCAGTTTACTACCATTTAGATTTTAATCAACTGAGTTTTTAGTTGAGTAAATTTAGTTGAAATAAAAAAAATAAATACAGATGTTT